TCACTTGCTATAATCCTGTCCAACAGATGGAGACCTGCACCCTTTGATCCCAGGAAATTTATAGACCAGAGAAAAATGAAAAAATGAAAATAAGCTCAGTGGAAAGAGGTTATGCTTTTTTTTGACAGATGGTATGCTGTCCTTAACTTTGATCTTTACATCTGGGCAAAGTTGACAGATGGATCTAATGTTGGATGACAATATTGAATCTCATGATCAACCCATCCCACCATGGCTTATTACCAATCCCTGTTGTGATCTTTCAGGCGCGGTATGGCCAATTGGTTAGGGCACATGATTTGCAGTCTGAGGGTAGCTGGTTGAAATCCCCATCCCACCAAACATGCTCGCCCTTTCAACCATGGGGGTGTTATAATATGATGGTCAATCCCACTAATTGTTGGTAAATGAGTAGCCCAAGAGTTGGTGGTAGGTGGTGATGATTAGCTGCCTTTCCTTTAGTCTTTCACTGCTAAATTATGGATGGCTAGCACAGCTAGCCCTTATGTAGCTTTGCACGAAATTCAAAACAAGCAAATTTGTTGTGATCTTTCATGGAGTCATCTGAAGAAATCAGATACTTCTGATTAGAATTTCGCTTTAATGAATACCTTTTAAACCATCCTTTCAGAAAGTTTTTTACAGTTGACTCTAGGTGCTCCACCATGATTTATTGCAACTTTATTGTTGCTCAGAAGATCCCTTTGTAGTTTAATTGTTCATTTCTTAGTTGTAATCAGTCTCATTTTCTCTAGACTATATAGAAGCAAGCAGTACACTAGTTATGGCATCTATATCAACTCACGTATCTCTTTGCAGGTCTTGGAATCACTTAAAGTTATTCTCTCTCTTTGTTATCTTCTATATTTAGAAATGACAAGCCCACATGTCATTGTTTTTCTGGATTCCTGGCCACATCTGATCAAAGAAAATATGTTTACTGACATAATGGCCGAATCTGATATCAGTAGCAAAATAATACCTTTGGCTATTTCTTATATAAATTTCAAACCTCTCATTAAAGTAAAACATCATGCCAGTTTGTAGGCAATTTGGGGTTAATAAAAAGTTTTTCAAACTTAAACCAATCACTGACTGACTGTCTAGTTTGTGCTGTAATCAGAGGACTCTGCATTGGCCTTAGTTTTCTTACCGGTTTCTCCACCAAAAGAGCTACCCACCAATGTGTAAGCAGTGTGATACTCAAATCAAGATTGCCCACATATTGCTTCCATCTGTGTCTGTAGTGTCAAGTGATGGCATAATTTTAGAAATGTTTTAATATATGATGTCCCTTTACATTGGACAAGGTTCTTGGCAACAATAGCACTCTCCATATTATCCATGTTTCAGGTTTTTTCATAATCATTAGGCCTCTTTGCTTCTGTTTAGTTTTCTACCGGAAAAAACATTATGTATTAAATTTTTATTTTATACATCAATCTGTTTTCAATTTTACGATAGTTGTTTTAAAGAACTGTTTGGCACATATACCCAACAAATTACTCAATTTATTTTGATGCTGCTGCTTTTTTATCAACATTGCATAGTGTAAAAAACAAAATGGTTAATTGAATTGTAAAAACTCTTGCAGTAGTGTTTACTCAATCCTTTATATACCAATATATTTCTCTAGTATTGTCAGTTTCAAATAGAGAACAAGTATATTCATAATTATCACTTAACTAAAAATCAGACAATGTATATATATATATCTTTTTATAATTAAAGGTAAGTTTCTTTATTTTCTTTTTTTCACTTACTTTAATGACTTTTTTTTAATATAACATAATGTTTAGGGACAACAAGAGACCTACTGGTCCATCTGAGCTGTTCCATCCTCTAAATTAAATAATATGCTTCAAATGTAATTAATTTTTGACACCACTTTTACATTCAACACTTCATTAACCCTTTCGAGATGGGTCACAGGTGAAAGGCCACATCATCTCGTTTGTTGATTCGCATTCAAAATTTTATTGAACTGCTATTTCATGAATTTATGTCAATAAGTTTGGTATGAAACTGTGGATTATAATTCAAATTTTAGAACTGTACATTTCTTGATTTAAAAGCAAATATTAAAAAAACACAGATAAACATCAATTTTTGTGTATCACATGGTATGTTGAATGCAGCACTGGTTCAAATTAGATGTTTGTGAAGTCAAAATACTAAGTCTAAGTTTCATATGAATTAGAAACTCAAATTACTGATATCGACAAGCTAGAATATAAGATAAGAGTCTCTTATCTTTTCAATTTGCTAAGATATTGTTCATGTAATAAATCAAACATGGTGGCACCCCACCCTACTCTTTCCATTTTTGGAAATGCTCCCTTATATACACTTACTTCTATATATTACATGAATAACCAATCAGAAGCTCAGAATGTCCCTCTAGTGGCATTCTCAACCATTTTAATAGGCTTGGTGCCATTTCTTTCTTTTGAACCAATATTTCAACGAGGTAGGGTGTGTCTTTAGTCTGCTCGAAATTTCATATTTTTTTAGACTAAAATACATCTTAGTTACTAAGCTTTATAAATTATAGTGGAATTCTATGGACTAAAAAATCATAAATTACTACATTAATAATTTAAGTGTATATATATATATATACATAAAACCTAAAAAACATTATTTTGTTTCATATCTTCCACGTGCAAAATTTTTAAAGGCTTAGCAACCCGAGTACAACGGTTATAACTAGAAGAAATAATTGTTTCCTTTACTTCTTAATTTATTGTTCTATGTTTTAAGAAAAATAAGTTTAAGAATTTATTTCAAAATAGCAATAATCTGTATACATATATAATGCATAATAATTGAAATGTGATAGTATTTTACAAAATACAGCCAAGACAAGTTACTTTGTACAGACCAAAGGTCAGTTTTATGTTATTTGATACGGTAACATGAGTGCACGGGATCCGCATCATTGTAACTTCTGTATTGTCAGCCAGGCATGGCTGAAAGGTCAATATAATAAATATATATAACTGTATAATATTATGAGATTTAAGCTATTTAGTCTAAACATTTATGTTTCCATAATTTGTGTTCATTCTAGACTGAAAGAGGCATAATTTATATTTATTTCCTAATTTTTTTATGGTAGTTGCGAGATCGGTCAAATCTACCGAACCAGTACAAAGATTAATTACTGAAAATAACAGATAAAATATAAACTTTTTTCTTAGTAAACGTTTGATAATTATCTGGATATTATAAAGATTTTGCATGTGCAATTTGAAAATTTTCTGATTCATAAAAGTATTTTTAATTTAATACTAAAAAATTA